TGTTATATCTACATTCCATGTTAATAATGCAGACCCCCAAAACAACAATAAAGTAATGGCACAAAACAAGCTCCTTGGATTACTGTGACCTGGATAACTGAGAACCTACAAAGACAAATATACAAACAAAAACCACCTTTGTGATCTTGGTCAGCGTTGTTCTTCCCCCACAAAGTCCAGATACTCTTGGGGATCCAGGGTCTGGTCTGTTTCATGGTACTCTGCAGGATGTTTGTTGTTTTGTCTTCTGAATCCACCAGCTGATCATTGATGAACAATAAATTCAGGAACAGATGTAGGATCTGCAAACAGACCAGGAACTCATTCAAAAACTCCTGATGGGCTAAGGTGGACTGGGTCATTCTAGGTTGTTGAGTGTAAAGAGACTCACCAGCAGCTTTCCAACAATCAGGACAATCATGAAGAAGGTCACACACATGCCATCATTCGAGACCTCCATGCAATCCCATAAAGACTCTAAACACAGTCCACACAAGACCCTGAAGACAAGCATGAAGGTGTGGAAAAAGTCTGCCATATGCCAACGAGGAAGCTGGCAGTCATAAGAAATGCGACAGACGTTAGCTTTGTAGTCCGACTGGAACAGCTGCACGCCCGCCACAGAGAACATGAAGACCGTGATGAAGAGAACCAGAGTCAGGTTCCCCACTGAGGCCCAGACGATCTTCAAAAACCTGTGGAGCATCGGCCACCAACGGGCCAGCCTAAACACTCGAAACTGGACAAACAGAAAGATACGTGAGAACAGATGATGATGGTGACGGTAATGGTGATGTTATACTAACCAGAAGAAAAATGCGCAGACCCTCAACAACGTCAGCCAGTCCCAGCTGCACCAGAGAAATGATGACGAGGATAAAGTCGAAGATATGCCAGCGCACCTGTAACCACGACAACAAACAATCACAAATGTTTCTTTGAAAATGGCAGATCGCTGAACTGTTGAGAAGAAACTACAAATTTGACCTGGAAGTATCCATGCAGGCCCAGTCCGACAAGTTTGATGATCATCTCAGCTGCAAAGATCCCATGGAAGACCTGCACAGTTAAAAACGGTCAGAGGTCACAGGGTAGAAGCGTGTTTTGCATCCAATTCATCCAACCATCGGCAGACAAGCAGATGAAAAACCTCGAACACACCGAGTCCCGTGCAGAAGTAGAAGAAATGTCACCCATGTAAAGGTAGATCACTCTGACCAGGCATCACTGTTACTGCAAAAAGACTCACGGTGTTTGAATAAACCTCAGCAAAGCTCCCTCTGAATCCCAGCTTATCTTTACTTTTCTCGAGACTTGCCAGAGGTTTATACTGTACCCCCATTACATTTTTACCTCACTGTGCTGCTTTTCCTCTCAGTTATGCAGGTCGTTTACAGGTTTGTACCATTGGTTTGTTACCATTTGTGATGTAGTTGCTCTGAGTGGACATTTTAAACCACTCTTGCTAGGTGGCTGAAGAACCCGCTAAAAGCATTCATCACCAAATTGGTCATGGAGGCACATCGAAGAAGAACATATGGTCCCTGCGACTGATCAAGTTTACACCAAACTAAGGGAGCAGAATGGAAAAGTCCTGATTTTAGCCTGCAGTGAAGAAGCTGCCATTGAATTAACCAAGTAGGAGATAACAGGATCTGCAGACACTTC